GGGTGGGGGGGGGGGGGGAACACTCATTATTCCACGTACACAAGTACATGAATGCGCATTCCGAAGAGCTACAATCAAATATATATATAAGAAAAGAAAAAAATTGTAGAAGCAAATGAAAGAGCCCTGAGTAACGTGAACATCTAACAACCCTACAAGGAGCCAAGGGGTGGATGTGCTACCTCTTTCACTCCGCTCTGCCCTCAGCCTCAGCCTCAGCTGCAGGTTTCTCCACCTCCCCAGACACAGGAGCTTCAGGTTTTTCTGTCTCAGCTTCAGCATCTTTGGCGGGTGAAGCTGCTTTTGTCTCCGCAGGTTTTCCATCCTTCCCCGTCCTTTGAAGGTGGAGGAGGCGGCATCATGCGTGGTGGAGGATGAGTCTTCAGCTTCAGGAAGATCTGTCTCATGCTTTCTTCTCTGCGTCCTTCTTCCCTCTCCTTTTTCTCGGGGGATCAGCTCCGCTACTGCTTTCCAGTACCTCTTTGTGGAACTTCTCTTGGTTAGCCAAGTTAAACTGCAGGACCCGAACCCGTTTCCAACACAGACCAGCAGGAAAGCAATGAATTTTATAGTGATGTGATCAACTGCTGGTCGTCTGCGTTGATGGCGGGATCGGAGAAATTGTCGTAACCCATCCCGATGTAAGATTGGTCCCGGAAGGGTGGCTGGCCGGTCCATCGTGGAAGGTAGCCATTCTGGGGGAGGGAGGTCTGAGAGTGTTAAGCCAATTGGAAAGAAAACGTTGACCATTTCCTATTTATTATTATTTTTAATCTCATTTGCGCCTCTGCATGCTTTTCGCAAATGGAAAAGAAATTAAATTTATACAAGCGTGTTTAATGAAGAAATGCCCATGCGGCTCTATGAAAACGCCATCTATAACATGATTTGCCTTTGTGTAGGATGAAGCACGAGAAACAAGAAAAGCTCCTCCGCTCCCTCCAAAGGAAGTTTCTGTTCAAAACGTAGAATCCTTGTGAACAAGACGCTCAGCGTCTCCGAGCTCAACCTCACCCCCGCCTTTGCTCTCCTGAAACATTAGCTCTATCTGCTCCAGCGACTTCCCACTCGTCTCCGGCACAAACACATGCACAAACACAACTGAGAGCCCCGACAATATTGAGAACACCAAGAATGTCCCTCCCACTGTGATCGCACCTGACACCGACAGAAACGAGGTGGCTACCACCCCACTCGAGACCCTGTTCCCCACCGCACCCAGCGCTGACGCCTGCGCCCTTAGCCGCAACGGGAATATCTCCGACGTCAATACCCAGCATACAGGCCCCATCCCTACCGAAAAGAATGCCACGTTACCGCACACAAACAGAATGGCTAATGCGATTCCTAGCTCTCCATCCCCAAGAAAACTCAGGGTCAAGCCTAGACTGAAGAGGCAAACTGTCATGCCGATGGTGCTCACGTACAGCAGTGGCTTTCGCCCTACATTATCGATCAGAAACGTTGCAAAGAGTATGAACACTGTCTTTGTGACACCCACGGCAACAGTGGCTGCCAAAAGCTTCGTCTCGTCTGTAATGCCTGCATCTTTTAGGATCTCCGGGCTGTAGTAGACCGTTGCGTCAATGCCGGTGATCTGCTGGAAACATTGTATCCCGAATCCTACAATTAGCATTTTTCGTACGGCTGGCGACGGGCTCAAAATCTACCCTCTCCCTGTTCGGTGTTATATATCTACATGGATAAAGCTGAAAAAATGGATTTTTTTTCTTGCTTCCACTTCCTCCTCTCTCTCGTTCGTCTTCATTAGAACCTCTCGTGCTCTGTCCACTCGGTTCTTCATCACCAGCCACCGCGGAGACTCAGGGATCAAGAACAACGCGAATCCTATAAACACCGAAGGAAGAATCCCGACAGCGAGCATTACCCTCCAGCTTATGTGCGGGGAAAGTCCTGAGAACGCGTAGTTGGAGACATAGCCCAACAAAATGCCGAGATTGATGCAGATCTCAGGGAAGGAGGTGAGGAAGCCTCTGGCTACAGTTGGGGAGATCTCTGCGATGTAGACAGGGGCAATCATGACTCCCAGGCCGATCCCGACTCCGGCTAAGGTTCTGCCGATCATCAGAACCTCGAAGGATGGGGCCACCGTCATGACGGCCGCGCCAGACTGGAAGACGAGAGCCGCCAAAGCCATCGTCCACTTCCTGCCGATGACGTCGGAGGTTCTGCCACCGGCTAAACTTCCGAACAGCGAGATGATGCTCAGACAGCCCACAAGGACTTCTGTCTCTACCTCCGTTATCTTGAGGTCCTGCTGTATGAACAGTATCGCGCCGCTCATTACTCCGACATCTGTGGGAAGATCACACAGCAGCACAACAGACATAGTCTTAATCCTAAAACCGACTCTGTTCCATGAATCATCCATAAGCGAGTGAAATGACAGTGACAAAGGGAATGAATCTTTTGTTGGACGAGATTGTGAACTCACCATAGCCGAGAAGAACGTTGTTAAAGGAGGCGAAAATGGCGCAGGCGATGACGTATTTCCTGGTTCGGCTGCTTCTGGACTCTGCAGCGTCGGAGCCCAACCTAGTGTACTTGTTTCCAATGGAAACCGCCGGGAAGTCCATCTCTGCGTCACCATTCTCCGGCAGACCCATTACTCACCGCCGGACGCGGAAGCGGCAGATCCAATACGCTACTTTGGAAGTTGCGTCGGGTCGGAAAAGGAATTCAGGGGACGACTTTTGGAGAAAGGCTTAGATCTCTCGGGAGGGAGATCAGATCTGAGCTGAGTAAGGGAAGGGGAGACCAATTCTAATGTCTTGTTGGAACCAAGTGGGTCATGTTCAACAGTCGTAAGCAAATTATAAAAAACTCAAACGGAAGAAAAGTCTGAAAAGGAAAATAAATAAGAAAGAATTTTCAAGAACCTTTAAATTAAGGTTTAATGGTGTTTTCAAGGTCCATCTGATTAGCTCTTTTTTTTTTTAATTTATAAAATAACGTGGATAAGTTTTTTTTAAAATCATATGGGGGAAGAGGCGGCGACAATGAAATGAGGCCATAAGCAACTCCGAGAGATGATGTTCGGTTCCTTCCAAACCCATTGGGCTCTCCACTTAATAAAACTAACCCATTAGTTTTGGTGGGCCCCCAATATATGACCGTTCAGTTTTTGTATAATTTAGAGAAAACCATCCGGTTGGGCCAGTGGGGATGAAAACCTATTATCCAATAATTGGAGCAATGGGCTACTAGTTAATTCGACCAAGTTTAGTATTTTATCTGTCTTGCTTTAATTATGTCTAAATTCATTTTATACACTTCCATGTTTTAGTTTTATATTTTACTAGGAGAGACCTGCGCGATGCGCGTGTTATATATTTAAAATATATATTATTTATTTTGTATACAATTTAGTAATATGAATATTGTTTAAAAATGATATTATTGAATATATAGAAAATATATAGATTAAATTAAATTAAATTATTATACAATCATCGTTACACATTATATTATTATATTGCATGTCGAAGTATTGTAGAGTTTAATGAGATTTTGAATTTTAACTGAGTTATTCTACCATTGAATAAAACCAGTGTTCAATACATGATGATATCACATAGAGAGACAATCCTTTTGATGATGATATATTGGGGAATACGATTATTTTCACGATCGTAACTTTGAAATTATTGTTCTTTTTTAAATAAAAAAATTATCGTTCAACATATGTTCTATACGGTAGAATCTATAACTGCATCATACACTACTTTTTTCATTCAAATAGTCAAATAGTTTCAGATATTTTTCTTTCTTCCATAGTTGATAAAACTATAATTTCTCTATCAATTGATCGTGTTTGACTTGAAAAAAAATTAATAAAACAAAGACGTTGGAAAATTAAATTATTATAAAATCGTATATTTAAAAAAACAAAAGAATTATGAAATATTAAATTATTGTATAAACTGTGTATGAGATCGATATCAATGATTCGTTTTAAAAAAAATTAGTTCTATGGTAATATTAAAAATAATTTTATTAAATATTATAGTTATCATTTGTTTTAAAAATAGTTAAATTTACATATTTGTAACTTAATGGTTAGTTTAAGTTTTTAAAAAATAAAAATATAATACATAAAAATATATTAATAAAAAATAAAAAATATATAAAATAAAAAATACATATATATATATATGCACATCTATATACCACGACCTCGGTTATATATATATATATGTTTATTTTTTAATTGGAATTTGTTTCATATGGTAATGATGAAATTATTTTTTTCAATATAGCAATGACATGTTATTGAATATATTAAATAATTAAAGTTATTATAGCGAATATAGATTTACAATAAATTTTAGAAAGTTTATATATTTTTGTAGAAATTGCAAATTTCGTGTATTTTATGGTAAAATAATATTTGTATATATAAACAAACAATAAAAAAAAGGGAAAATGACATTTTCTTACACGGATTTTATAAAAAGAAAAAAATACATATATATACATATATATATATTCATATCTATATACAAATACAAATATAAATATATATACTCATATATATATATATATTTGTTTTTGTATGTATGTATATATGTATATATACATATGCATATGTATAATATATATACATGTATATATATTTATATATGTATATATATTTATATATGTGTATGTATATATATAAATATATTTGTATGTATGTATATGTATATATATTTGTATAGATGTATGTATATATGTGTATATTTTTATTTTGTATGTATGTATGTATGTATGTATGTATGTATGTATGTATGTATGTATATATATGCATATGTATATGTATATATATATATATCTATATATGTATATATATTTTATATATGTGTATGTGTATATATATAAATATATTTGTTTGTATGTATATGTATATATATTTGTATAGATGTTTGTATATATATGTGTATATTTTTTATTTTGTGTATATATATATATAGATATATTTATATATAGGAGTATATATTTATATTTGGATTTGTATATAGATATGAATATATATGCATATATATGTATTTTTTTTTGTTTTTTTTATTTTTATTTTATTTTTATTTTTTTTAAATCTAACGTGACATACTGACATGACAAATGTTTTTTACGTGGCATGACACGTCAGTCGCCATGTGGCGTACCACGTCAGATGTTAACGGATATTTAATACCGTTTTCGAATTGTGTATGAAATTACAGTAAAATTGGATAGTTTGTGTATCGATTTGGGATATTTGATAATTTGGTGTAGGTTTTTGTCAAATTAAAAGTTCGTGTAGGAAAAAGACATATTTTACAAAGTCTGTGGGAAAATATCATTCACCAACAACGATTGGTCTTAGTGGTAAGCGACTTGGATTCGCTTAAGCATGGCTCGTGTTCGAGACTTGACGTATGCAGACACTTCTCTTGGAAGACTCACCCACCATAACCAGGTGCGCGACCCGAGTCAGGTCCGGATTAGTCGGGGTGAAGTTCCAGATACCGGGCGGACAACCAAAAAAATAAAAAAAATTATTCGTTTATAAAAAAGTTACTTCCTCCTTATAAAAGTTCCTCCTTATAAAAGCAGATAGAACTTTTACTATTGAGTAAAATTAAGGATGTGTAGTTCTCACATAAAGAGAAAATAAAATTAAGTATAGGTAATCCATTATAATGGAAAAACATAGAACAATGATTATGAGATACTAAATTCTGTTAGCATAAGAGATTTAAATATACAGAGCAAGTTCAATTGAAGCATTTGCACAAGCCCTACAAATACGTGGGATCTATATCTTTTTTTAAATTTATTATATTTATAATTTAAAAATAATATTTAATTAAAATTAAGATAATAAATATTTTAACGGTTGTTTATTTCAGTTAATAAATATTTTTTACAACACGCTCCAAAATGAGGTGGACCCCATATTTGTAAAATAATTTTTTAAAATAAATTTATAGTTTAAAATAATGTTTAATATAAAATTAAAAGACCTATTTTTTCAACATTGATCATTTGTACTAATGATTAATTATTAAAAAAATTTAGTTATATATTATTATTTATAGTAAATGTTCATCATCTGTTAAGGTAATAATTTATTTATTTTTATACCATTAAATTTATTAATTAATATAGTTAACAATTATAATTTATTGTATAAAACTAAAACAGAATTTATATTATTCTAGATCAACATTGATCTTTTAACTTCAAATTTATTAGAAAAATTATTTTTCATATTTTACCGTTCAGTTTTAAACATTTTTTAATATCATTAGAAATATTTTATATATATTAGTCACCGCCGTTTGTAGGAAACAATAAATAGTATATATAAAATAGGCATTGTCATCATAATGAATTGTATAAGTTTTAAACATTTTTCTGCATTAGTGAAATTGGTGAATCCCAATGATTTCGTCCTTTTTGGTATGTAACTTATTTTCCACCTTACGCGTGAATAATATTATATGTTATATACTTACATGCACATATACATATATATATACACGTATATAAGTACATATGTGGGTGAGTGAATGTATAGACGAATTAAAATCCAAACTTCCAAAAGAGTGTGATATGAAAAGAAGATAACTCCATGGAAACCAAAGTTCCATACACATGGCTTTGAATGTAAAAATTATTTTAAATATATACATATACATAAGTATATACATGTGAACATACATACACAAATAGATCTATATATATGCATATATATATATATATACATATATATATATATATATATCTATATATACATACATACATATACATCCATATAAATGTGCATACAAACACACATACAAATACATTCATATATACACATAGATATACATATATACACAAATACACATGTACATATATATATACATATAAACATATATATACACACAAATACATCGTTATATACATATATATACATATGTATATATATATACATATATAATATCACATATACATATACACAAATATACATACATATACACAAATTAAAAATCAAATATAAAATATAAAAAAATACATACGTACATACATACATACATATATACATCTATATACAAATATAAATACATATATGCATATGTTTACATATTGTTTATTAAATCGTATCACCTATTGTTTTAGAACCTATTTTTCATGAGTAAAAATTAGTGATAGTTTAATAATATATATACATATATACATACACAAATCTAAAATCAAATATAAAATATAAATGAATTAAAAAAATACACATATACATACGTATATATATACATATATACATACATACAGAGAGATTAAAAATCAAATCTAAAATATAAATGATTAAAAAACACACATATATTCATACATACATACATACATACATATGTTTACATAATTTTTATTAAATGTGTCACATGTTTTTTTTAAACCTATTTTTCATGAACAAAAATTAGTGATAGTTTAATAATATAAATATATACACCCACATATATCTATATATATACAAATTAAAAATCAAATATAAAATATGAATGATAAAAAATATATACATACAACCATACACACACAAAGACACACACACATACACACACATACACACATACATACATACATACATACATACATACATACATACATACATACATACATATATATTGATTTATCAATTTCGGGATATAAAGATAACCATTCGTAAATAAATAATTATATATATATATATATATTGTCGCTAACATACATACAAAATTTATGTGTATATATATGATTTGGATATATGTATATATATTATCGTTCATTTATATTTTTTCTTTAGTAAAATTTGTTGGGCATATATATATTCTTCCGACTGTCCACACACATTTATTTATATATATATATATATAAATTTTGAAGCAAACCACTTTTTGAAATTGAGATATATGGTTGTTCACATAAATCCCAAAGATGCAAAAGAAAAGCAATACTTTGAGATTTCTGGCGATCCAAACACAATGTACGTGTATGGGTATATAAAGCTTAGGTGCAATATAAACATGCAAATTAAGTTAGAATAACCACATAAATGTATTTCGGTCACCAGAAAATATCAAAGCAACACATTCAAGAAAAGAACAAAGGAAGAACCTTGTCGTTCCGTTGGACCAAAACTCGAATAAATTCAGAGAAAATATTTCTTCGTGAGCTCCGAAATCTTTGCAAGAGCCAGAACCGGTTCCGTCCAAGAAACTACTTTCCTCGACCCATAATATAATTTGTTTCTTCTTCTTCTTCTTCTTCCATAGTTTTGTTGGAGTTGCCTTATTGAATGAGTTCTTTTTGCTCTTGTTGTTACTCGAGCTCTGCCTTGACGGGATTGTAGTATATCATTTCTCTGTTTCAAGAGCTATCGATCTATATAAAAAAGACAATGATCAATTGAACTTTGTGCCAAAACCAATTTGAGCCATTGAGTTTGTTATATGATTTGATCACATGGGTTTTCTGTCCAATGGCTAAATTAAAAACTTTCGCGATTAAAGACTTACCGATTGCACATCTTGAATATATCTACTTGTCATCTCTGAAAACTGAAAGCCAGATAAATCAAATCATGATGAGGAAAAGGAAAACTTCTGATGGTGATTCTCTAACATGCATTAGCATTATAGTGGACATACTGAATTGATAGTTTTATACAATTGATAGGGAAATCAAGAAATTCATTATTTGTTACTTTGTTTGTTTTCCAATTGTTTTCCTGTATTCACGGAGAATGCTATATTAGAGGAGAATATATGCAGTAGAATTACTTAGTTTACAGAAGATGATAAATGTAGTAATCTAAAAATCGAAGAGAGAAAAATCAGTGTCTATGTTCTACAAAATAAACGAAATACAAATGGCAGATTCTTCATTTCACTGCATAAACAGTGGGAAAAGAAGAAGAATAGAGATTCGTACCTGTTTGAAAGCTCCACCAACGAAGAAGATAAGAGGACAAAAATAGTTTTGGGAGACAAAAAGATTCGGTATGCGCGTTGAATCGATAATGGTTTTGGAGTGAAGAAAAATGAATGGGCATATCTCATCGACCACTTAAATCTATATTCATTAACATATCAATTTAATTGTCTTACATAACTTTGTCAGTCGTATAACGTACATTCCAATGGGAAAAGCAAAAGCGAGTGACGTTTTTCTTTTTAATTTTTTACCCCACTAAATATTAATTACATGTAATGGATATAAATGCAGTTCAAAATAATGACTGGATTAAAGACATGTAATTTTTCTACGCAAGTGTCTCGTATTTATGTAATAAATATCATCTTTTTATTGTTTTTAAATACCCCGCAGTTTGTTGATTATATCACATAAAAACATTGTTACATATCTGATGAAATTTTTTATAAGCCAATCCAAAATTTAAAAAGAACGTACAATCAAAATTTTAAAAACGTCGTTTATTGTTTATATCAAATAAAAACTTTTTGAAGATATCTTTTTAATTCTTTTGTGAACAACTTTTTTTCTATGTAAAAATACATGTAGGATAATTTATATAATAAATATGATATTTTTATTTTTGTAATTAGAATATCATTTGCGGATTATATCAAAAATAAACTTTTTTAAAAAACCTTTTTTATGTGTAAAAAATAATACTAATCTAATTAAATGTTCATATAACTAATGGAGATTTTAATAAACCAATCAAAATCTAGGAAACTTCCATGGTGGATGATGAGGTGGCTTCACCAGAAGCCTCCAAATCCAACTTTTATATATATAGATTAGTTGCTCCAAACATATTCATAGGCAAGAAAGAAGAGGATTTTGTCACTGTCGGTGGCAGGCATACATACGGAGTTGTGGATTTTGTCTCTGCTGGTAAACTCAAGTCAGAGACACCATGCGAGAGAGTTTTTTCACAGAAGAGAGCAGTGTTGTAGTCCAGTCGGTTGATATTGGATCAAATGCGGCTTGAATCCCGGCCGAAGATGAACCTCCTGGTCCAGTCAGAGACAACGAGAACCCGGGTGCGCCAGCTCACTTGCTTGCTGGCGTAAACCGAATACCAGAGCCACTGTGTGCTTCTTCCAGCAGAAACCCAGTCCCCCGGCAGTTCTGCTGCTGCCTGCTCCCCTCCTAGTGGAGCAAATTGTCCAAAGTGCTTGTATCTTTCAAGAACCAAGTCCATATAAGCAATGGGTGCAGCAGTAAGTATATGAGAATTAATTCTATTTATGTTGTGAGAGAATATACTGGAACGGGCGGAACTGGTGATGGCTGCCATCCTTAAAGCGCATAGGACCTTCAGGTTGCTCTTCGCACTGCTTCATCCGGTTGAAGCATTGTGCCAGATATGCACCTTGCTGCGCAGCAACCTGAGCAGTTGCAGGCAGGCTCTTCATCTGTGAGTCAACCCCTGATAGAGCCAATTTGAAACCCTCGATGTCGACTTCCTCCCTCGCATTTCCTTCGGCATCTGCCAACAGATCTGTTACATTCATCAGATGCTTGCTTTTTAGGAAGAGCCCAACCTGAGGGTATCTCACTAGGATATCATCAACCACATCTTGGAATTCTTCCCTTGTCAATGTTCCCGATTTGTCCTTGTCTGCAGCCTCGAATATTGCTGCAATATCCTCCTGAAGGCGGATAACAGGTTCAGACATGGATGTTCAGAAGACTGGCACAAGCGCAAAAAGAACAAACAGATGTTGAGAGTCTTCACAAACCATGATTTTACGTTGATCGATGGTAGCACAATCTCCCATTGCATACACATTCTGACACCCCTTCACACGTAACCATTCGTCAGTTGCCAAAACACGTCTTTTACCCTGCAAAGGAAAGAACCAATCAACAAGGCTTTGCCATAACGCTGAACGCTAGCCAACACACAAGAACAATATAAACCTGCCCAACTTGCTCCATAAGGTCCCTGACAATTGGACGGGTTCCAACACCAGTGGACCAAACGATCAATCCATGAGGAACCGAGCAGACCTCTCCAGTTGATTTGATTTTCATTGAGATATCTTTATCAGAAACACCAACAACACGACACCCGGTTTGAACATCAATACCATCTCTCAGAAATTTTTGCTCAGCAAATGAACTTATCCGTTCGTCAAACCTACAGAAGCAGACATGTCAAGCTCCACAATCATGTCTGGTCCTAAAAATAGACAGGACTGATATTGTTCGCTCACGTATTCAAGATATGATCTCCCGATTGGATCAGTGTTATTTTCACGTGATCTTTGACGGTCGGGTATATTTTGGTGATATCTTCTCGGATAAAGTCATGTAGCTCTGCAGCAAACTCCACCCCAGTTGGACCTCCTCCCACAATTACAAAATGGAGCTTTGTTCTCCTTTGTTCCTCGCTAAGGCCAGGAAGGACGGCCTTTTCAAAACAATCGATCACGCCTCTGCGAATCCTCTGAGCATCCTCCACTTCCTGCAGATATTATTGTCACAAAGTTTCAAAAACAAAAGAAGGTAAGTAAGACTCACACTTCAAGTTATAACGTTACCTTGAGAAAATGACAGTTCTCCAGGACACCGGGAGTTCCAAACGTATTCACTTGTGCTCCCACTGCTATGACTAGATAATCATATTCTAGCGAGAATTCTTTGTCTACGGTGGGATCATCCCCAAAAACAGGCTTACAAAGAACCGTACGGTTAGCAGTATCAATCTTTACACAGTCTGCTTCCCAAAACCGAACTTCTCCTTTCTTCTGCCAAAAGAAGAAATGCCAGCATGGGTTACCAACAGGCAACACATTAGAATCCAGTCATCTCAAAATAATAGGATAGATGGTGGAAATGTGGGATAATTCATGTAGGAAAACAGATGTGACCCGAACGAAAAAGCCAAATGGTTTGTGAATCCATGACAAAAAGAATCCACCCGCTTTAGCAGGACATATGCATAGTTATGATTGATCAAATCATGAGAGAGTAGGTTACTCAAGAGATGTTAACCACCGTTATTTTCAAGTGTTGAAGAGCTGCCAACGGATTGACGTGGGCATGTTCAAGTGATTGATCAAGACTGAGATATCTGAATACCTTGTTAACAATATTGCGGACAGGCTCCACAATACTTCTAGCTTCAACGGTTCCACAAGTGACGCTGGGCAACAATGGGGTAAATGCAAAGTAGTTTTGTGGGGAGACAACCTGAACATCGTAGCAAGATACATCAAGATCTTTGAGGAAGCTTATCCCCGCCCATCCAGTCCCCAGCACAACTACTTTCTTCTTTTGATTTTCCTTTTCTTTGTTAGAGTCTGAGTATGCCACCAAACTTCCACCACTGCAAATATATGATGCCACAAATGAGCAAGCTTTTAACCTCTACAAAAGACTAGAGACCATGAAGTCCAAAGGGCCATTATTATAACCCAAAGTATGGTTATCACAACAACTACATCCCTTGAAAACCCAACTCGAACCGGTTCCAGTTACCATATCAGAGAGCGACTATAAATTTCCACAACAGCAATTCAGTTATGGAGTCCACCCATCTTCTCCAAAGAACTAAAAGAGGTCCCGATTGCAAAAGACTCGAGATCCATCGTGTTAGCAAACGGAAATACGCAAAAAGCTTCCACCTTTAGCGGAAAAAAGGGAAAAGAAAAAAGAAAGATGGGCCGTCTGTCAAAGTAGAACCTGAGAGTGCAGAGAAGGAGTAGCTTGGAAGAAGCCGGTGCCGTTCTGAAAGCTCTAGAAGCTGCGCCGAGAAAGGACAGTATCGTCATTTCAGCTAAACAGAGGAACTCTCTTTGTCTGCTGAAGAGGGAGTCCGGTAAAGAGATGAGAGTGCTTGAGACAATCCCTAATAGATGCAGATGAGATACTATGAGGAGCAAGAACAGACGTGGAAAGCACCAATCTTTTCTGTCCCATGAGTGCCGCTGGATCTGGGTCAACTTCAAAAGATAAATTTACCCTCTCGCACTCTGGCAAACTTCAGAAATAATGCGATATCAAACGACTACCACGTGGGTCAAGCGTTTACTGATTGTAACAGTCAAACCGGACTCGTATTTTGTTCTCTTAACTCATCTCTCTTGTACTGAGAATTTGGAAAGGAATAAACTTTTTTTCCTTTTCTATTATCACAGCACAAGTGGAAGGAGTTGCAATGCAATGCCACTGGGGTCGAGTAGAAAGCTACCTCGCCAGCAAGGACTATCCGAATATGTCAGTTCCTGTATGGATTCACTTCAACTAGTTACAATCGGTGCTTTTGACGAATACATATCAATGTGAACATGGTCGAATACCAAAATCCAGGGAACCTATAGGAGATGAAATGCAGCACAACGAAACAAGGGCTCGGATGCCAATAGGAGTAAATCAGGAAGAGAGGCACGTACTTGGGAGATAGAATTTATCAATCAATAACTCGTAGGACCAGAAGCCTGCGGTGTTTGGTCATTTCACGGGAGAAAAATAACAGAGGTTAGACAATCAAAGTCAACTAGAAAATAACTCCGGAATCGGTCAAACCCAAAAAAAAAAAAAAAGCTTGCGACTTGGTTTTAAAAAATGTGTAGCGGACGAATAGAGAGGCTAAACTAAAAACCACGTTGAAGGACCGCGCCTCTGTGACCTCGTCAATGTTTGTAATTGTTGAGGCAATCAAACTCAGACGCTGCTGACGACGTGTCGTGATTGAACGAGACGGAGTTTCGATTGTTTTTCATATGGATTGCAGGGGTTGGGCTCTCTAAAACCCTAAACACTTGCGATTTCAGCTTTTGACCCAAATTGCAAAGGGTCCAAGCCCAATCTTCTCTTGCTCATCCCCTCTTCTCCGGACCCTCGGAAACCCTAACTCAGTAGCAGAGGTCAAGATCGATGGCGTCCTTCGCTCGCCGTGCTACGAGCATCGCTCGGATTCCAACTCAAGCTGCCTCTATCGCTCAGCGCCGTGGTCTCTCCGGCGCCTCCGGTACTCCCTCTCTCCGTTTACTCTATCGGATCTGTCATTATCTTGGAATGCATTTCGGCCATACATGTTCGGATCCTGTTCGCACGATACCTCGGTGAATAACGCCAAGAAAAAAAAAAATTGGAGAGATGGGCAATCAAAACTTTATCCAGATGTTGAGAATTGTGTTTTGCTTTTCCCCTTCCGAGAGTGTGCATATGAACAATTTGGGGCATTATGCAGGTCAGCATGGGCCTCCCAAGGTTAACTTCTGGCAAGAGCCCATGAAGCCTGCTCAGTGGAAAGAGGGGCGCGTACGCATCTCATTCTCCTTGCACTTGTCGTGAGTTGTGGTGTGCAGCTTGTGCTTGTTTCTTTGACCAGTTGGGGCTTGCTCTTCTACGGTGGATACAAGCTCCTCACCGGAGGCAAAGGCAAGGACGAGATCAGGATAGTAACGATTTCTGTTAGGTTGTAATTGCTATTCAGGTTTTCATTTCTGATCTCACGGTATAATATGTATAGGTGATGGCTCTTCTTTTCCTCTCCACAAGTCTTCTTTCATCTCTGCTTAGCTCCATCATCAACCTTTTGGTTGTTTGGAACAAACAATATGCATTGCTTTTTCGAGTTGTGAGCCCCCAACAGACATGCTTATATGGATTAATCTTGCTCCCCAAGGAGGCTTGTATGTATTCAAGTAAAATCGTCATCATACAAATGGGTTGTCCCTGAAGAGCCAATATCTTGGTATCCTGGCAGTTTGGCTCCTGGTTATGCTCTTGCATTGTCTGTAAGGCGTTGAATATGTCGACATGTACGTGACAAGTCGGAGAGCGTGATGTCGAAACTATTATTTTGTGGCCGTGGATAAGGATCATCTGGTCTTGTCAGAGGCCCATTTTGGCTGCAAACACACAGCTAAAATGTGAATGTACAAAGCACCCTGTTGCCTTTGCAAGTTCCATTTTCTTTTCCTTTTCTTTTTTGTTGGTTCAGACACAAGTTACTGCCAGAAGAATGACACGCACAAAAAAACAGCACCGAAAGAATCATACGAAGTTACTTATTTTTATATTAAAAAAAAAAAAGCAAAGGGGGCATAAGCGCCGCGGAAAGGTCATTCCTTCCATGATCAAGCTTGGGAATTGCGGGTGAAGTCGAGGCAAATCTGGCAGGAGCAGTCGGAGAAGCGACAGAAATGGCATCCAAAGCAAACGCAGGAGGTGCATCCTTTGCATGTAGGTGACCTCGTGCACCCTCTGTACACCTTCCTGCTCCCCCTCTCTTCCTCCTCCTCACATTTTATCCTGCACATTCCCATCACACACCCACACATATATGTTACCATCTGATGACTTTTTGAAACTTATAAAAGGATTCGTTCGTGGGAGCATATATATACTTGTCATACGGATAGTCGGAACATTTCCAATTAGGATCAGCCAACGCGTCGTGATGCAGGCGGCACTCCTCTCTGCTCCTCAACCGGAATCTCCTCTCCTTTCCACATCTGCAGCACCTCACAAACTCATCTCTGTGTGATCTGTTTGACTCTTTGGACTTCTTTGTTGCTTCACAGTAGTACTTGAGCAACGCTGTCTTCGAGAGTGGAACCTTCTGTCCCCCCTCTATCACCCACACGTTGTTTTTCCATTTTCTAGCCGTCTCTCTCCCTGAATGCTTCTCGAACGCCCCAGGCGTTAACTTATCTACATCCCACGATCACAACGCTGTCAGAGGTGCAATGCAATATATCTCTCTAATGGCAATCATTCCCGCAATATATAATATTTTTATGATATGCATCGATCTGATTTGATAACTGAAAGTACTGTCACCCAACGAGGCAATATCATATGCCGGAAAACTAGCTTTCAATCTGGGCTAGGGCACTATAATCATAATGCCGCGAACGATCACGTCATTGTATGGA